AGTATCATCAGAAAACTTGTTGTTACTTTCAAGGAGCGTCAAAATGGTCAAAAGTCACCATGTTTTTTTTTCACTTAATTGTTGTAAACGATATAGTATGCGGATCTCCGTCAAGATGCTATCCAATTAAACCCCCTTTTTTAAAAGGACAACTTATTATAAAAACCTTTTAATTGATCTAAAGCGTATCGATTGCCTACCTTTGTTATGGAAGTTCATTTTTCTCGTCGACGAGTTTTCATGTTTGGATGCTTCTAGAAAAAAGTCATGTTAATGAAAAACAAACAAGGAACAACAGTCAGGATTCTCTGTCCGACGGGGAATGCAAACATTTGGGCTCGCCTGGAGACAGAAATGGGAACAGCCAAAGGAAGATTTGTAACTGACATTTTCAGAGGGCACTTCACTGGTCCAGAGACTGAGTCACCTGAACAGCGACTCCGGCATATTTCGTCCCGGTAACGGAAAGGGTGTTTGGAGTCCCCTCTTAGCACTTACGTTTGAACCTGACGGCTCAGTAAACCAGCAACCCCGGCTAGTCTGAGGGGCCTCTTAAGACATCCGCGCTGGCGTTAGGGACTACAGCGACCAGCTGGATACTGTTAAGCTTCCGGACAACATTCCCGATGGGAGTTGATTGACATGCTGAGCATGTCTCACAGCCCGCAGTCTCTGGGAAAAGAGGAATAGAGAGAGTGGGAGAGAGACGCTTTATTTTGAAGGTAAACATCCCAAATTTTCAGCAAAAAATGGCCTCATTGACTGAGATCTAGGGATAAGTTAATAAAATATTCAGGATTCTATAGTTTGAAATTAAATCCGCGTCTATTATGGAGGCAGATCTAATCTCAGATTCTGGATTTGCGTTTCTTTACAAGTGAGGTAGCGTGCTAGGAATGGGAGTACAGATTGCTTATATGACTATGTACAGTAGGATATATATCGGAAGCTTCGGTGCACAGTACAGGAAGACTTCGCAGCTATTAATTCAGGATGAAATGGATAGGCAACATCGTCAAGAATGGCAACAGCAAACTGCTTGACCGTCTTAAAGTGTCGCTGTATTATAATATCAGCTAAAAAGTACAAAAACATTGGCGGCTGAAGAGGGCATTCGGAGGATAAGGTTAAAAATCAACAAGGCTGGACAAATAACCGGAGACCATTAGAGAATGAGGGGGTAATGCAGACATTTAGTAATCACCAGATTAGGGCTTAGGGTGTGTGATATGTACGTAACCGAGAGATGTAATATAGAAATTTACGAATGGAGAGCATTTCAAAATGAAGAGAAAATGAAACATTAGATGTCAGGGTAACCACAAGATACCGGAAAGAGGATATATTTCATTGGGCTGAATGTCTAAGCATTGCAGGACTGCTCACAATTGGACAACGC